CTGCCAATTCAAACGGCAAGGGTAAAAATAGTAAAACAGCGTTTCACCAAACCCAGATCGCTGTATAAGTGCGTTAAATATAACCAACCTTCATGTTTGAGGTTTCAGTAATTGGCACAAATATCCGAATTGATAATATCGGCCAGTAAACAGACACGAAGCTAAAGCACTCTCAATGAAGATATATGTAGTAGTGTGTTTAAACTCTAAGCGAAGCCTCAAGTGGATGCACTGAGAATGGTAGTCAAAGCCTCTTTTAATCATACATCTAAGGAGTTATTTAAAGGGCGTGCGGTTAGTTACGACTCTTATATGCGGGAAGGTGCACATAAGGATCACTACAATAAACTTTACTGCGAGTTGCTTAACCAATTTGTCTTTATATTCGTTCATAATATTATTATATGAACTTTGCAATTATATGATTTCTTAATATAAACATAAAAAGGCATACGTAGATGATTGATCTGTGACATTCTTTACTGGCATATAATAAAATTTATTAATGAATACTTTACCGATTATTGTAGTGGTGTTTAACACCACAGTGATTATATCTCAAAAACTGGCTAAATAACCCAGGCTGGATGTATTAAATAAAAATGTTCAGCATTCAAAAAACCTTTATTTTTAGTTCTAATTTTTAATCTATATCCTCTAATTTTATCCTAATTTTTAACCTCAACCTTAAATATTGGCAACAAAATTACTTTAACACCGCTGGTGTAATTTATAATTACTGTTTTAAATAGATGTACTCAAATCTCGCAAAGACCAGTATTATATCCTTACGTACGAAACAAGCTATAGAGCTATTTCTTTAAAAAAAAGAAACTAAATCAAGTCCTTTCTTTTGTCTTTTTCTAAGAAAAAATAGTATATTAATTTTTTCGTGTTTAAATAAGAAATCAAAGAAATGGCTCTATATTTGTAGAAATGTAACACTGGCCTTTGCGAATTTTTATTCAAAACTATCGAACCGTTAGGGCTGTGCATCTTACTTATTGTCACGGTTTTAAAAGTGCCATTTTCTGAAATTAAGGGTAAATCCTGAAAATGGAACAAGTTTTGAATTTTCGGTTATAGCATGAGGTTTATCAGCCGAATAGTGATAAACAAACGTGACAACCGAAAAACTAGTACGCGTAAACGAGACTTTAAAAAAAAGAATATGTTATTTGCTAGTTGAAATCTTTCATAAAACGAAAAAATAATGAAATTTGCCTTTGATGTAAAAAAGTCCCTTTTTTACTATGAGATATCATCACGCCATGGTAAAAAAGCTCTTTCATCTACTCAAAAGTTGGATATTTCAATGAGTTTGGACTGTGAATTAAGAGGATACACGGTTCAAAGTCTCTAGAAATTCTTAGGATAATAAAAACTATAAAAATACCGTAATTTCACCTTTGTAAAAAGATAAGAACTTGCGTGTCGATAGCTTTTTAATAAAATA